TCAAGTATAAACTGAATCTATTACAAAGATTAGCACATGAGGCAGGAATCTTAAAATAGTTAATGTCTCTCTTGAATGATGGATTGTTACTTTGCCCCCCGATGTCCTCAATTAGCCAACATGCTCTAGTCTTTCTAGACTTTCAGAGACTCCTTCCTTTCCTTCTCTCACCTGGTGTTGTACATTTGTTCATGATAAACTCCCAATCTAGCCTGCTTTACTGGATTTCCATGGATGTATCACCATACATCTCAGATAATGGATTTGCCTTCTGAACTGAACTTTGTTATAGTATCTAGAGAAAGAAGTCTTTACAAAATATCTACTCTATTTCTGTAGATAATCTGACCTCCAGATCTTAGCCTGACCAGATCAAGCCTTTTGTCTCTCCCTGTGTCTATGCCACACACCAAAACTTCAATTTAGTTTTTCCACTGAAAATTTCATATCTTATTGACACTACTCACATACTGGTAGTATTAAAGGTCTATGGTAAATGAGAAAACCTTAATGTTTTATATAAAATTTCAAGTCCAGGGAATTAAAGAACATTTACTTAATAACATACAATAAAATTTTGAGAGTAAGAGACCATTCTGTGCTTCAGGAAAATATAAAGTCTTGAAGTTACTGTCCTTCAAGACATGCTTCAATTTCATCTTGACTATGACATTATTTTAATCTTTATTTCTTTTCAAAAATTTTTTAATCTTTATTTCTGGGAGACAGAGACAGAGTGCAAGTGGGGAGGGGCAGAGAGAAAAGAAGGCACAGAATCTGAAGCAGGCTCCAGGCTCTGCGCTGTCAGCACAGAGCCTGATGCTGGGTTCGAATTCACAAAATGAAATCGTGACCTGAGCCAAAGTTGGACGCTTAACTGACTGAGCCAGGCGCTCCTTTAATCTTTATTTCTATCCTTGATCTCCCCCCAGGGCTTCAGACGTATATGCCACCTGCTTCCTGACTGCTTACCTGTCTGGATTTCCAGCTAATATCTCTTCACCTTCTCTATCAGCCAATGTATGTATTCAATAAGATTCATAAGATTTCAAAACTCAACACTTTAAAAACAATCCGGTTAGGGGCCCCTGGCTGGGTCTGTTGGTTAAGCATCTAACTCTTGATTTCAGTTCAGGTCATGACCTCACATGGGGCTCTTTCCTGGGCAAAGAACTGCTTTGGAGTCTCTCTCTGTCCCTCCCCCACTCATGTTCATTCTCTCTCTCTCTCTCCCTCCCTCTCTCAAAATAAATAAATAAACATTAAAATGAATGAATAAATAAATAGGGGCATCTGGGTGACTCCATTGATTGAGCTCCCAAATTCAGCTTAGGTCATGATCTCACGGTTCATGAGTTCGAACCCTGCATCAGAGTCTGTGCTGACAGCTCAGAGCCTGGAGCCTGCTTCAGATTCTGTGTTTCCCTCTCTCTCTGACCCTCCCCCACTTGTGCATGTGCACTCTCTCTCTCTCTCTCTCTCAAAAATAAACATTAAACAATTTTTTAAAAGATGAAAGAATAAATATAAAACAATCCAGTTATAAAATGGGCAAGCAACATGAACAGACATTTCATCAAAGATACAGATGCCACATGAGCACATGAAAATATGTTCAAAATCATTAGCCATTAGCAAAATTAAAATTAAAACTATAATGTGATATCATTAACACCTATCAGAATTATAAACACCTATCAGCATAACATAATCATAGGACTAATACATATGCTGTTCATTAGATGCAAGCAAGAGGATCTGTCCACACTCAAGGTATGAACATCAAGAGGCAGGATCATGGGAGCCACATTAGAATGTGTTCACAATGTTTGTTATATAAAATGTAGAACACATATCAGAGTTTCAATAAAAAACAAAAGTCACACATATATCTAGGTATACTACATAGAGATAACCACTGTTAATGATGTTGAATTTTTTTTACAGTCTTGTATGTACTCTTCTTGAAGCCTATCCCCTAACAAAAAGATATATAGATCTTAAATATATACCTTCAAGAACAAATTGGGTGGATTTTACTTTCTAATTTCAAATCTGAACCTTTACTACTACTTTCAGTGTTTTAGTCCTATTCTTGACCTCTTTCCACCATCCTGTCTTTATATTTGACTTTATATTTGACTTTATATATTGATCAGTTCATCCTCACCATTCAAGATACTTGAAGTGTCAACCCCTCCAGGAAGCCAACTTAATTGAAATGCTTTTCTATATGGCCTTTTATTGGAACCTCTCCATTGTACTGTTACCACATTGTTTTAAAATGATGTTCACATGTATCCTCCCTTCTAGATTATAATTCCCTTATACAGCAGAATACACATCTCTTTCTTCTTTGCACGTTTAGCATCTAGTCCAGTATATATAATACATAATAATTTCTCAGTAAGGAAGTTGAACTGAGATACTGAACTAAAAACCAAGTATGGGTATGCTATGAAGATATAGTTTTGCTAAGCCATCTATATTTTACTATGTGTTTTTCCATCCTTGAGTACACTAACAAAACCTAAAATTAAATTAAGGAGATTCGAAACACTCTTACACAACATAAAAACCCTCTTATCACATGCAACTCTTTAAAAAAGGAAGCAAATAGAAAAAAAAAATCAAGAAATTTGCAACAACTCTTCCTTCACTAGAAAGAGTACCCACCCAAAGATGAAGACAAATATTGCACATGCCTACATAGCCTGAAATTTAAAAATGTTATTAGAGTAATTCCTCTTGCATTCACAATATGATTGAGACGATGATTAAGAAGTTTCATGCAAAACCCATCTCATTATAAAAATGGGAAGGGCTAGAATAGCATTTAGTTATGTGACAGGTGGAAGAGTTTCTATGGACAATTTTATCATTTTAATACCCGCACAACCCCTGTGATAATTCTTAGTAAATTCATTTTGAATTCATTTGAAGTAAGTTGTCCAGGATTCCACAACTAGTTAGTGAGAGAGCCACACTTAAAACTGGAAGGCTCAGTTTCAAAGCCACAATCTTCCTATTTCTTTACACTATGAGAACACCAGGAAATACCATAGTTTTCAGTTCATTACTAGAAACGTTGCTCCCTAGAAAAAGACGGAAAAGAGTAGTAAAGACTAACAGCAGGCTTGAGTTTGAGGCTACATATCTATGGGAAACCATGATTATTTGCATTGTGTTGTGTTTGATTTCGCTCCCTGCCAAATGTCATGCCAAAGCCTTGACACAACAGAGATTTGTGCCTGCAGCCATTCATTCTGTCTGGCAGAGCACATCAGCTGGCATATTTTACATGGATATTCTGAAATCACACCAGTCTCTGAATAGGTACTGAAAGTGACTAAGAGAAAAAACTATATGAAAAATAGAGTCAGGAGTCATACTCCAAACAAAACAAAACAAAACAAAAAACTAGAAGCATGTTTCAATTTTTAAAAATCAATTATTCATATATTGAATATTATTTATGTGGATATGCTTTTAGACGTTTATTTTTCATAGAGAACTAATATGCCAGAACACATACAGTATGTTTTGGGCCAAATGTAAAATATAAACATGAGTATATAAGTGTATTTCCTCAAGTATTATGCTTGCATAAAATAGGATATCAATTGTTATTGAGATATATATCTACATTTTTCTTATAACCACAAACCTACTTTCCACTTTCCTTTAAATATAAAATGAATTTTTCACACAAAAATAATAAAAGAACTGCTTCACCCATTTCATTGTGGGGTGGAAGGATGCAAAATAGGGTAAATGATCTAGAGAATTTTAGAGAAACTATAAGCAGAAATCTGTAACTCCATTCATTATTTATTTATTTATTTTTTTAAAATTTTTTTTTCAACGTTTATTTATTTTTGGGACAGAGAGAGACAGAGCATGAACGGGCGAGGGGCAGAGAGAGAGGGAGACACAGAATCGGAAACAGGCTCCAGGCTCTGAGCCATCAGCCCAGAGCCCGACGCGGGGCTCGAACTCACGGACCCTGAGATCGTGACCTGGTTGAAGTCGGACGCTCAACCGACTGCGCCACCCAGGCGCCCCACTCCATTCATTATTTAAATACCTCCAAAGAAATGGCAAACTTTCTTTCAGTACCTTATCCTAGAACTCAAATTCCATATGTGCTACTTTAAGCAATTTTTTTCTTGCTACTTCCTCCATAGAGAAGGAATGGCTTTAATAGCTCCTGTAGGTGGGATCCATTTCCAGGTCCTTCTTCTTTCTCCATTACTATCCCTAAGAATCTTAGTTCCTTTTGTCTTTACTCCTGGAGTTCCCACTATGTACTTTTTATTCATTGTATAATTTTTCTTTTTGGCTCCCTCTCAGGATTCAAGGTTATTACAATTCATGATATTTATAATGTTCTTTTCCACATTTTTTTACAATAATATTCCATTTGAAATTAAAGGCATCCTGTATTGGCCTTATACTCTCCTCCTTAGCTTTCCTGTAGTGCATTTATATAATTCTTACTGAGCTTTATGTATCTTGCTGTTTGCATCTTCTTCTCAAATCCACTTGTAATTTCACTACCTGGTCCCCCCAAATCCTAGGCACTGAAGTAGATCTTGACTGATATAATTCACTTTCATATATTCTATCTTCAATAACTGAATCATCAGGGTCATTAAAGACTAGTTTACACAACTTCCATTAAACTTTGAATAGTATCATTCTTTTACTGTCAAGGGCATTAGTTATAACTATTCTTTGATTATGTGTTGTATGGATTAAGACTTTCATTGCTCAGGAAATGATATGTGTTTAATAATCAGATATTTGATTCTGAGGTTTTCTCACTAGCATCATGTTTTATCAGCTTAGTTTATCATGACATGAACATGTACTATAATTGAATATATCTAAACACATGACAGTAATATAATTACTATAACTTTTTTACTATTAAAACATTTTTTATTTATATACTTTACTTGTGGAGAATATTTGAAATATACTTTAAATGTGCATACCTTTGTCCAAGGCACATCCTGCTGTGGTCTCAGGACAGGAACCTATTGTAAAAAATATACATATATAATGTTTTCATTAATACACTTAGTATAACAGATTGAGAAATACCAAAACATAAAATTTAAAACAAGAACATGTTTTAATGCTCAACCATTGCTCAATATTAGTATCTATCTATTAACTTCCAAAAATACTTTTGTATTTATTTTTTTGCTTTAGTTCATTAAGGAAAAAAGAATAAGGTATAAATATTCTAATATACTTCTCAATCTGAATCTCTAAATGAACTTTATTCCTTTATATCTTAAAAAAAAAGCATTTTTTTCCTAGAAAGAAACATAGAGGTAGATTCAGTTCCTGATACACAACAGTCAATTTCAGGCAAAAACTCAGATAACACTTATCAAAACTGCTAAATGAATTATTATGTTCTGAATAGGAAGATGGGGAAGTAGGTTAAACAGGTTTTATGATAATAAAAATCTTATAATATTTGTTCATCAAAAAGTGGCAATGGAACATCAATTAAGTTAAGAGAATCATTTTCACAGTAATAATAATGTTTTAAATTTTCAGGCAATGAAACTAGAATGTATGTTCAGATAATAGATTTAAATGTGTTCAAATGAACTTGGGTACTTCAGAAATCAAAAGAGGAAACAGAATCACATATTGCTGCATAAAAGACCCATATTTCCATGATTTCTTTCAATTTTATTATTCTATTAGAAGCAGCATCCTATTTGCAAATATGTGGATACCCATCCACATAAAATCACAGATCCAAATGTAAGAATTATCATTGCAAATGTGACAACGCTGATTACAAGAACTTAAATTAAATGTAATATCAAAGAACCACTTACTTTGTCCATATTTTTTGACATTCTATCTACTTGAAATTTCCAGATGTGAGGGGGGTAGAAATCAGAAGGCATGAACTTCCTTGTGATCTCCACCAGTATGTTGTAATAAAAGTTTTACCATGAATAAATAAATAAATAAATAAATAAATAAATAAATAAAATATATAGCATGTATAATGTAAAAGTACGTTTTTTCTTCCGTATTTAAAGTTCACAAACTCAAAGAATCTTAACTCTAGAAGACACCTGAGTAAACTCAATTCAAACTGTGAATTAAGAGATTCCAATGTTATATGGAAGTGTCACACAAGTCCCTGGATAATCCAAGGGAATCAATCCTTTGGGTCACGCATAATTTTCCCTCAGCCAGTATTCAAGTACAGCGGATGTGGACACAAATGCAGACACATGCGTGCACACATGCGTGTGCGCGTGCACACACACACACACACACACACACACACACAAATTTAGGCTATTTTCTTTGTTCTATGGCCAAACCTAGAAGATCACATTTCTTAGATTTGAACCTTAGCCCCTGAATTGCTAGCTATACTGTACAATTTACAAAACCATTTCTGAGCCTAAGTTTGTTTTACATAGAGTGAAGTTGTTGCAAAGATTATATGAGCTAATACAAATAAATTGCTTAGAACTCTTCTAGGACATAGTAAGTAGCCAATAATTGTTGGCTATTAAAAACTACAAGACATTTGAAAAGTAAAAATTCTTCAAAAACCCTGTAAAATTATTAAATAATTTGGACATTTAAAAAATATTTCAAATGATATTTCTAGTCTACTAATCATCTCTTGAGTATGAAAATCTCCATTTGTATTTCTTATATTTGAATATAATTATAATTATATTTTCATATTATAATTGTGAGAAATAATTTATAAATGTAACTATGGATGACAAACTTCATTCATGAAAGAATCACTAAAGAAATCAAAGTAAAAGTGGCATTTTTTTTCAATGAGGCATTTTAAATGGTTATTTAACATCTGGAATTCTATGTTCTGTATTTTACTCTTGGTCTGGAATGTCTAGAAGAACAGAAAATCTTCTGAAATGACAGGGAGGCACTTAACGTTTTCCATAGGTCAGGCAATAATCCAATTGTCTAATATCCATGAGAGCAAAAGTATGTGACAAAGAGACAGTACAAAACTGGATTGCCAGTGTTATTGCCAGGCTATAATAAATTTATCATAGAAAGACCTGGTATCAATAAGGAAGAGTTAGATTGACAAAGCAAACAGATAATCTTTAGCTACTTTGCAAGCAAAAAGTGAAACAAAATAAATTAGTTACAGAGAGAGAGGCAAACCATCAGAGACTCTTAAATAAAGAGAACAAACTGAGAGTTGATGGGTGTGGAGAGTTGGGGCCACAATGGACATTAAGAAGGATTGTTGGGATGAGCACTGGGTGTTGTATGTAAGTAACGAATCATGGGAATCTACTCCCAAAGCACACTGTATACCCTGTATGTTAGCTAACTTGGCAGTAAACTATATAAATCAATTGATTGATTATAAAATATATGAAGATTGGGTTAACTAAGTACAGGGTAGAATTGGAAGGGGGAAAATGACTTGATAAGAGAAAATCAACAACAACAACAACAACAACAAAAAAAAAAAACAAAGGGAAGAAAAAAAAAGGAATAAAACAATACCCTGGATAAGGAAAGCACTAAATGCCAAACCTGAAAGGTACACAACATATTTTATAAGTATGTTTTGATCAGAATCTCTTTTTACAGATCTGGTGGTGGAACTCAAGGAGGGTTGGAGACTAATTCACATCATTTTAATGTTTTAACTCAGGGATATTTTTTTTAATTTTATTTTTAAGGAATCTCTATACCTAATGTGGGGCTCAAACCTACAACCCTGAGATCAAGAGTCACATGCTCCACTGACTGAGCCAGTCAGGGGCCCCAGGGATTTTCTACCAAGGCTAATTTCCTAACCCCCATTCTTGTGACAGGGGACATATAACACAGCTGGGGGTAGCATGCTACTAGTTGCTACTGGCATCTAGTGGGTAGAGGCCATAGACACTGCTAAACATCCTTTAATTCACAGGACAGCCCATCACAAAAAAGATTCATGCAGCCCAAATATCAATCATGTGCTAATGTTGAGAAACTCTGTCTGTCTTAGCAGAGGAGGTGGAGCTGCCTCTTACCTCAGCGCTTCGCAAACCTTTCCAAATCATGAGATCAGATCATTTACATAGAGTGACTCTTCCAGGAAAAAGAGAACTGACTTGGTCAAGGTTCTTGAGAAAGGATATTTTAGTTGAAATTAATCTATTTAAACATTGCCCATCTAGCAGTTAATGTAGCCATGTATTAAACACAGGTTGATCAGATGCTAGTCATCAAGATTTTTACACTACATCAATGTGAACTCTCTACATAATGGTATTCCCACTGCTTTTCTCAAATGTTTTGCAACATCAGAAAATATCCTAGTAAATTATCTGATTTTAATCTTTAAAAAAAACTAAATTCAAAGTTAGATATTATCCCATTTGAAATAATTCAGTTTAAGTGTCAGGTTATTTACCTTATCATTATTAGAAATTTAATAATTCATCATAATTCAATAGCTAACTAAAATTATTTTTATTTTTTTATTTTTATTTTTTTACTGTTTATTTTTGAGAGGGAGAAAGAGAGACAAAGTGTGAGTGGGGGTAGGTGGGGCAGAGAGACAGGGAGACACAGAATCTGAAGCCAGCTCCAGGCTTTGAGCTGTCAGCACAGAGCCCGATGTGGGGCTCAAACACATGAACCATGAGATCATGACCTGAGCCAAAGTAAGATGATTAACCAACTGAGCCACCCAAGAGCCCCTAAAATCATTTTTAAAGAAAATGAGGTGTTCAATATTATTTTATTTTTACTTTACACCAAATTAACAACTATTTTAAGTGAAACTAAGTTACATTTCTATTTATTATTAACATAAAGATACAATATACATGGCAACATGAAAGAAAACTAATTTTTGAGAACAGGTAAATTGTCACTAATATAAACTAAAATGTAATTTTGCATTATTATTGTTTTGCTCATTTCAGAATACCTCATTACTATCATGTTTCTTAGAATATTTAACCTGTAAAGTATGATGTTTCCTTGATATTAATTTAGTGGGATTCACAACCTAAAAAACATGCCATGTTTTAGTTGGTAAATTTCCTTCAAGGATATCTGCAAAGGCCAAAAATTTGGGAGAAGAGAATCCTTAAAACCTTTCATCAAATACAGATGAATTTCTACAGCTAAAACCAACATATTGAGAAAACACGAAGGAAAAGAATAGGAGAGTTTCATTTGTGTTGCTATTATTGTGATTCAAAAGAAAGGCCCATCCAGATGGATTTAACAGACCTATTCAGAACATTCCACCATAAAACATCAGAATATGCATTCTTTTCAGGTACACATGGAACATTCTCCAGAACAGATCACATATTAGGCCACAAAACAAGTCTCAACAACAACAACAAAAAAAAAAAAAAAAAAAAAAATCTAAGTCATACCATGTATCTTGTCTGACCACAACACTATGAAGTAGAAATCAAACACAAGAAAATATCTGGAAAGAGCAAAAATACACAGAGGTTACATAACCTGCTACTAGACTATAAATGAGTCAACCAAGGAATCAAAGAAGAAATAAAAAACTTACATGGAAAAAAATGAAAATGGAAACAAAATGGTCTAAAATCTTTGGACTGTAATAAAAGTGGTCCTAAAAAGGAAGATTATGGTAGTACAGGCCTACCCAAAGAAGCAAGAAAAATCTCAAATAATCTTACACCTAAAGGAGCTAGAAAAAGAACCAAAAATATTATACCTAGAAAAAGGAGGGAAATAATAAAGATTAGAGCAGAAATAAGTGATATAAGAATTAAACAACAACAAAACAAAACAAAACAAACCAGATCAGTGAAACCAAGACCTTGTTTTTTAAAAAGATCAACAAAATTCATAAACCTCTAGCCTACCTCATCAGGAAAAAAGAGAGAGAGAGAGGTGATCACCAAATAAACAAAATCACTAATGAAAGAAGAAATAAACAACACCACAGTAATGCAAAAAATTGTAACAGAATATTATGAAAACCTTTATGCCAACAAACTGGACAGCT